GACCGCCTTCACCATGTTAACAGCAAGCTGCAGGGTATAAAGCAATAAAACTGCCACTTCTACCTGCTGGCTTTGAGGACTTTACAAACAAGCTCGGCGTGCAGCCCGGGTGTACCGAGAGCGCTCCAGGGGAGGGGAGGGAGACCTTCTCTTTCCCTGACCTCCCCTTCTGCCCTCCTACACACACACACACACACACACACACACACTCACACACACTCACACACACACCCGCACACATCTCCCCCTTACCCAGCCCACCTTTCATTTTCCTTGAAGCTTTTTCGGTGGTTGTTTTAATTCACTGCTGCTTTGTAAACGCGTGGATCGGGTTACTGGTTCGCGTGTTAAAGGGTACCTCTTGTTAGAAAGAGGGAAACAAGGCAGGCTACTTAAAAATGAATTCAGGGTTACTGAACCAGCTCCCGAAGCTCGAGAAGTTAAGCGCGGCGGCCTGGGGAAGGGAGGCGGGGAGAGGGGAGTAAACGCCGCTGCTCTGGGCTCCCCGGAGGAACCCGCGGGCCCTGGCGAGTTTCAAGACACCTGGTAAAACTGAAGAGGGGAGGAAAGAAAGAGAGAAACAGAAAAAGGCAAACTAGCCCGGCAAAGCCCGGAGCCCCTGGGTTGCGAGCTGAGTCAATCGATTAGCACACACCGACGCCGCGAGCTTCGAGCGAGAAGTAAGTAGAGTCCTAGCCGCTAAGTCCGCAGCCACCTCTTCTGGAGTTACGGGGACAAGCGGCACCACTAAGCTGTCCATGGCTCAGGTTCCTCGGGCCTCATAACTTACGGAGTCCAAGCAAATAGAGTTGCAAAGAAGCCCACAGTATTTCCCCCAAAGAAAGTAATAACGCGTACACGCAACCTGTAGGCACATAGATTCGGAGCGGCTGGATCCCACGATTCCGCCGGCGGCCAGAGGCTCGCGGCTTTGGTCCTTGGGCGGATGGAAAGCTGGCGCTGCGCCCGCGGGGTCTGCGCGCGCGCTGCCCACCCAGGCCTTCTGGCGAGGCGGGCTCCCGGCGCGGCCCGACCTGCCCTCCTCCCGGCCTGGTTGCCGTCCGTCAGTCCGTCCGTCCTACCTGGTTTCCGGGCCCGAGCAGCGCGCCAGGACTCGGCTGTCTCTGCTTCGCTGCCTGGACCTGAGCGGGTCTGCGGATTAGAAAGCCACAGGCGAGATCCGCAGCCCTGGGCTGCTCCGAAGTTCCTGTCTTTCCCCAGTCCATCTTTGAAAGAGAAGTGGTTCTACCACCTGGATGTGCGGATATAAATCCCCTTGCAAATAATAAATGGATTAATAATAACAAGGTATGAAGTTCTTTTTATAGAAAAAAAGGAGAGAATTGAAACTAAATGCGGCAGTTAGACAACCATTTTGATAAGAGGATAATTGAGGCGACACTGGTGTATAATTAGAGGATAATTTATGCTATATCCACTTTTATTCCACCTCCCAAAATAAACCCAGTCCATAATCATTACAGGCAAATTGTTCTGAATTTTATAGCAGCAATTTGAACAAAGTACTGCAGTTAATCATGGGAGATTTTTGTGTATTCCTGATTAGAACTCTAATTGCCTCCTTCCAGAAAGTAAAAATAACTGTAAAACGACTCTATTTTTATCATTAACAATGTTGACAATAAAATAAAATCAATTGGAATTGTAATCGAGAGACAAATTTAGGACGAAGGCACTTTTACTTGGGTAGTTTATATTGTAATCAAGATTTGCCAAACCACTAACCGCATGTATCATTTGCATATATTTGAAAGCATTACAGTAGCTTCTGTTTTCAATAGGAAAAAATGCATTACTGTCAGTCCTCCAACGATTCACTTTCAGAACCCGCTGCTGAGTTCTGGGGGGAGGGGGGGTACTCTCCCCCTTTTTGTTTAATATAAGGCCTGAAACGGCAGAAACCTTGTCAGAACAGGGTCTGATTTTTCTTTTTCTTTACCCCCCACCCCCTTGGGGTGGGGCCCAGGTGTGGGGGTTCTTCTTCCCTCTGTGGTTTCAATAAAGTACGTCTAGGAAAATCCACGGTGACAGGATGCTCCCGTGGGACCGTATTGGACTTGGCGGGGGAGGTCAAGAGAGGGGGGCCTCGCTTTAAATGCAGAGGGTATTGCTTCCGAGCACAGGCAAGCCTGCTAGGGTGCAAGGGGACGGAGAGAGCGCAGCCCCCAGCCGGGCGGTGTCGGGGCTGCGGTATTGGGAACCGCGGCTTGGGGTTTGGGGGCGCGAGCTGCGGCGGGAGGCCCGGCGGGCGGAGGCGCCTCCCTC